ATAACCACTGCGCTAAACATCTGCAATTGTAATAAATTTAAGGGTAACTGGTTTGACTTGACACACACACACACACACACACACACACACACACAGACAGACAGACAGACAGACAGACAGACAGACAGACGTAGAAAATAAATTAATATATGTAAATAAATAGACAAATAAATATAGCTAAGAAGAACAGAGAGAAACAGTAGGTAGAGAAACAAACAAACAAAAGGCTGCCGCTAAGTGAAGGAAATCAGCTGAGAAATCTTAAAGGTAGTTAGAGAGATTGTGAGGGAGATAAGATGATGTGTTGTTGATGATGATGATGATGCTGTCTGTGTCTGTCTGTTAGTGCGTCTGTGTCTGTCTGTTAGTGCGTCTGTGTCTGTCTGTTAGTGCGTCTGTGTCTGTCTGTTAGTGCGTCTGTGTCTGTCTGTTAGTGCGTCTGTGTCTGTCTGTTAGTGCGTCTGTGTCTGTCTGTTAGTGCCTCTGTGTCTGTCTGTTAGTGCGTCTGTGTCTGTCTGTTAGTGCCACTGTGTCTGTCTGTTAGTGCCTCTGTGTCTGTCTGTTAGTGCGTCTGTGTGTCTGTCTGTTAAGTGCGTCTGTGTCTGTCTGTTAGTGCGTCTGTGTCTGTCTGTTAGTGCGTCTGTGTCTGTCTGTTAGTGCGTCTGTGTCTGTCTGTTAGTGCGTCTGTGTCTGTGTGTTAGTGCGTCCGTGTCTGTCTGTCAGTACATGTGTCTGTCAGTGTGTGTGTGTGTGTGTGTATGGAGAAGATGACAGAAGTGAATGACAGTAAATAGTATTGTAATCTACCGTCTATGTCTCTGGGCTCCACGTATGCAAATTACTTCACCTGTGACTTTACTCCTAAATGTACATAATGACCGACTCACAGTACATAGGAGTTAAAAGAGCCAAGACATTAAGTTTGAAGGATCCTCTCTCTCTCTCTCTCTCTCTCTCTCTCTCTCTCTCTCTCTCTCTCTCTCTCTCTCTCTCTCTCTCTCTCTCTCTCTCTCTCTCTCTCTCTCTCTCTCTCTCTCTCTCTCTCTCGTATTACTATTATTATTATTATTATTATTATTATTATTATTATTATTATTATTATTATTATTATTATTATTATTAGTAGTAGTAGTAGTAGTAGTAGTAGTAGTAGTAGTATCAGTCATATTAACCCTTTCAGTACGATGACTTAATCCTTTCAGTACGATGACTTAATCCTTTCAGTACGATGACTTAATCCTTTCAGTACGATGACTTAATGCTTTCAGTACGATGACGTAACCCTTTGATTACGATGACCTATTTCCTTGAGTAAGATGACCATGTGATGGAGCGATTAAGTCATTGTACTCAAGGGTTTAAATAACATCTACAGTTACGGAATGATACGTGTTATAGTCATGTTGTGTTGACGTAGTAATATCAATGTTGTTTACCTGTGTTGTACCTGTGTTGTACCTGTGTGTGTGTACCTGTGTGTGTACCTGTGTTGTACCTGTGTGTGTGTACCTGTGTGTACCTGTGTTGTACCTGTGTGTGTACCTGTGTCTATACCTGTATGTTGTACCTGTGTGTATACCAGTGTGTGTACCTGTGTGTGTACCTGTGTATACCTGTGTTGTACCTGTGTGTATATACCTGTGTGTGTGTACCTGTGTTATACCTGTGTGTGTACCTGTGTGTGTGCCTGTGTTGTATACCTGTGTGTGTGGACCTGTGTTGGTCCTGTGTTGGCCCTGTGTTATACCTGTGTGTGTACCTGTGTGTGTACCTGTGTTGTACCTGTGTATGTGCTTGTGTATGTGTACCTGTGTTGTGGTGTACCTGTGTTGTACCTGTGTGTGTGTGTGCGTGTGTGTGTGTGCCTGTGTGTGTATGTGTATGCACCTGTTGTACCTGTGTGTGTGTATGTACACTGTGTTGTAGTGTACCTGTTTTACCTGTGTATGTATCCCTGTGTGTATGTACACGTGTGTGGACCTGTGTTGTGCCTGTGTTATACCTGTGTGTGTGTGCTTGTGTGTGTACCTGTGTTGTACCTGTGTTCTACCTGTGTGTGTGTACCTGTGTGTGTGTACCTGTGTGTGTGTACCTGTGTTGTACCTGTGTTAGCATACCTGTGTGTGTGTGTGTGTGTGTGTGCCTGTGTTGTACCTGTGTTATACCTGTGTGTGTGTACTTGTGTGTGTGCCTGTGTTGTACCTGTGTTCTACCTGTGTGTGTGTACCTGTGTGTGTGTACCTGTGTGTGTGTGCCTGTGTTGTACCTGTGTTATACCTGTGTGTGTGGACCTGTGTTGTACCTGTGTTGTACCTGTGTTGTACCTGTGTTATACCTGTGTGTGTGTACCTGTGTTGTACCTGTGTTGTACCTGTGTTGTACCTGTGTTGTACCTGTGTTGTACCTGTGTTGTACCTGTGTTGTACATGTGTATGTACCTGTGTGTATATACTGTATTACCTTCATAATTCTATTGGTTTTTATTGTACTGTGTGGGTCTATAGGATTATGTATGTGTACTGTACTGTGAGGATTAGTGTTGTATGTTGTGGGGTAAATACAGGTGCTGTTGTTGTTGTTGTTGTTGTTGTTGTTGTTGTTGGTGTTGTTGTTGTTGTTGTTGTTGTTGTTGTTGTTGTTGTTGTTGTTGTTGTTATTGTTGTTGTTGTTGTTGTTGTTGTTGTTATTATTATTATTATTATTATTATCATTATTATTATTATTATTATTATTATTATTATTATTATTATTATTATTATTATTATTATTATCTCAAAGTAAAGTAAAGTTCATCAAATAAAGTAGGTGAATAAAGGTGTTTTTTTTAAACTCTATCTCTCTCCTACTTAAGAGATAATTCCCATCACCTTACTATCTCTACTTTCTCTTATCTCTCTCTCTCTCTCTCTCTCTTTATGTTCTTTACGTTTTCTTTTTTTTACTTTCTCTCAGGACCACCAACACTTACGCATAGCTATGTATCTATCCATCTACCTAAAGGGAGAACGAGAGAGAGAGAGAGAGACCTACAGGTCGCACTTGTAACTTCAATCTGTCGACCTGAAGAAGTCCCTATGCCTTCCTCAGACCACATGACCTGATCTCAACACCTGTAACTCCTCCGAACATCCAGTACCTGGCGACCTTTAGGTGGACCTGTGACTCATGGGGGCGTGAGGGGTGTCCACCTAATACCTGGCGACGTGTAGGTGGATCTGTGTGACTCGTGGGGGCGTGAGGTGTCCACCTAATACCTGGCGACCTGTGGGTGGATCTGTGACTCGTGGGGGCGTGAGGGGTGTCCACCTAATACCTGGCGACCTGTAGGTGGATCTGTGACTCGTGGGGGCGTAAGGGGTGTCCACCGAGTACCTGGCGACCTGTAGGTGGATCTGTGACTCGTGGGGGCGTAAGGAGTGTCCATCTAGTACCTGTAACTCGTGGGGGCGTGAGGGGCGTCCACCTGGTGCTCAATATGCAACATGAGTGAGCAACTGGTTGACCGAAACTCAAACCTCCCGTCCCTTGGCCCAGTCGAGCGTAAACGTTATGGTGTGCGCGCGAGGTGGGCTGTCAAGTAACGTCACTAGACCGTAGATGTTATGGTAAGTGTGTAGAATGTATTGCCCCCACCACAACCCCTCACCTGTCGTAATGTAGTGTAGTCGACCGTAGATGTACAACGTATTGACCCCCCCACCAACCCCTCACCTGTCCTAATGTAGTGTAGTCGACCGTAGATGTAATAATAATAATAATGGTTGCCCTTCGTGCAACGAGGCTGGCCGGTCCAAGGGCCACCTAGGCGTGAATTTGTTTAAGGTGTAGAAGCTGTTGCCAAAACAACAACCACACCCTAAGTTAACGAGCTGCATGACCCAGTGTCAAGGACTAGTCCCAGAAGACCGGACAACTCGCCAACTACACTGGCTAACCATTACCCCGGAACACAATTCTCAGATCGATTAACATCCAGGTTCCCAATTACTGCTGGGTAGACAGCCAAATGGCGTAAAGAAACTTGCCGATAGTTTCACCCTGCCCGGGGATCGAACCCGGGTCCGCACGCTTGCGAGGCGAGCATGCTGACCATTACACCGCATATGTAGAACATATAGTATCCCCCACCACCACTCCACCCCTCACATGTCGACTGTCGTAATGTCGTGGTAGTCGACCGTAGTAGATGTGGATGACTTGTCCGCCAGGTGGGTGGATTTGATCCTTAGATGCTTCGTTATAGATGTGTAGGTAGTAGTGTTACTACTACTACTACTACTACTACTACTACTACTACTACAACAACTACTACTACTTAAGCCATACATATCGTAATATCCAAACATCCGTACCTACATAATAACAACGAATAACGAATTATCTAAGCATACCATTTCACGAAATATTAATGATTTATTTACCTCAATAGAAACTGGACTGTGTAAATATATATCTACTTATTATCCTTCTTGTAATTTTCTATGGGTTGGATTATGGTGTATAGAAACTTATAGATAACAGGGAAAGAAAGGGGTAATGGAATAATAAGGAGAAGAGATAGACGAAATTTTCAAACGTTTATTTAATTTATTCGCTTCTTAACATACAAATACAGTAGGTAATGTGAAATGGAATAATTGCAGTGATTCATAATGTTTCGTATACCTTCACTCTTGTAAACCAAATTGAATCGTCAAGATGACACGTAACGAGATGATTCCACCCTTTAGCCACTCCACACCACGAGCACCACATAACGCAACACCTCGACACACAACAATTGAACTTCTACGTATAAACAAAAGCTGTGGGAGGAGAAGGGGGAGGAGGGGTGATGGAGGGTACATAAGGGAATAGGGTAACCTTCCTCCTATCTACCTCCTCTTCCCCCCCTCCTCCCTGTTGCCCTTCCACCACCACCCCAACCTCCACTTCCCCCGCCCCGGTGACCCCCCCTAGACCAGGGTCCTGAGGCGAGGCTACAGTAGTGTTGCCGCCACGCTCGTGCTGGCAGGACCGCCGTCGCTCGCTCCTCTGGACAACCCGCCAACTCGCTCACCACGACTCGACCATCATCAGCGACTCCCACATATGCAGTTTTCTCTCTGTAACAGGTGTGCTGACGTCGTCGATCACGCGGAAGGATATACAAAATCATCGGATCATTCTCCCAGTGCATTTAAATCAGTGAGGAATAATAATTAAAAGAAGGCCCAGAGGAACATGGCTTTCCAGTGGATTTTCAGAAGCTAGAAACTGAAAAATGATGACGTATAGATTATTACTGTGAAGTGTAGCACGCATGTGGTGGACGGACGCTGGAGGTGCTTGATAGTGTGTTTGTTTGTGGTCTACCTGTTTGTTGGCACCCAGAATGGCTCTACTTGACCTGACGCTGCCTCTCTGGAGTGCCACTGTCCTCCTGTTCCTCTCCTCCATACTTCCTCTTGGTAAGTATTCGTTCCTCTTGAAGTTGTACATATAGCATTCTTATTTATTTGCTTGTGTTTGTCTGTATTTAATCTTGAATTCCTTGACAAAAGTTTTGTCAAATGTGTTCACGTTCTGTCAATAATAATCGAATTTGTCTCCGACTCGTTTGATTCTTAAGGAAAGTCAACATTTCATTATTTTAAAGTAAACACCACACCTGAAAACACCGTTAATTATCCCAGTACGTAAATAATGATCATTACCTAATTAACGGATTACTAATTATCACCTGTCATTAGCAATCATCATCGTTAACCATCTGTCAAACTTAATTTTGTCTTTACTCATAATTATCATCATAATAATCATCCTGTCATAAGCAATTATCATTATTTACCACCATTACCGCTCTGTAATACGTAACTGGTATCGTTCACAATTAGGGATCATACGTCATACATTATTGTCATAATATACAAATCATCAATCATACACCATTTGGCCTTGACTATCACTATCATTCTATATTTGTTATCATTATACCATACGACATATGTCACTGGTTCATGCCTATCATCCTTAAGCTTCCCTGAGTGTCTTCCGCCTGCATTAAAGTTCAGGTCGAGTAAAACTAAGTCCTGCTATAACCTTCCAAGACGCATCACTCTCCTCCGTCAGGTGCTTGGGAGCTGTGATTCGCCCTCCCTTGATGCCAAACACCCATTAGCGTTTGTGTAGGGAGGCTCTCAAGCAGCGATTCTAACTTCCTGCCGTGTGTGAGGGGGTCTTGCTTCCCACAGAGAGAGTTACGTAAAGTGTTTGTGTAAATGCTTTTAAAGGGTGATTCTTATACTCTTGTGCTTGTGCGGAGGGGTAGGGGAGGGGATTTTAAGGGGTGATTCTCATTTGCTTGTGTGAGAGTGAGAAGGAAGGGGATTCAGGTTAGGATTCTTTGCACTTTCACTCCGTCCACAGTCATATCAGCGCTTTTGTAAGTAGTTTATAATATGTGTTTTTAATATATCAAAGTGTGTCCAGGGGATGATAATTGCTGTCATGCAAGAGTTTGTCTGGTGTGCTTTCATTCATTGGTTAGACATGATTTGACTTTCAGAATCTCGGCAATTCTATTTTATGGTGTTTCAAAGCAGTGATTCTTGCTTCACACTCGCCATGTCCAGTATATTGTGCTTCCAAGCAGTGATATATATGTACCTATACGTCAACAGACTCGTCAGTGCTTGCTATATTGCTTTCAGCCAAGGATTCTTATTTTCTAGCCATCCAGAGAATCAACAATACTTGTTTAAGGAGCTTAGAAACAATAATTCTTGCTTCTTTACCGATGAAACACATCAACGGTTTCGTTTTGTGCCTTAAGGCAGTGATTCTTATCTCTGGCCACCAAGGGGCCTGTTCTTTGTGTTTGCAAGCATTGATTCTTGCTCCTCTGCAGTGTTCCTTGACACCTGACCCAGCCCGTCCCTGTTCCCTTAAAGGTTCCCTCGTTTCTTTTCCTCTCTTGACACAGGTATTAATAGCTCGCCTCGGTACTGTCTCACGGCAACTTTGATGCCATTTTAGCCGCCATATTTGTGTCCTTCGCCTTCACTCCTCCCAGTTAGGAGGACAGTCTATCGTAAGAACCTTCGAGAATTCGTGTCCTTGGCTAGTGTTGGTGGGGTCTTGGGGGAGTGTCAGCCCGTGGGAATAAACTGGCTCAGTGGGCAACCCCATATTTGTAAAACCCGTCTGTAATTGGTCAACAGGAGAGGAGTTCTAAACGTTTCTTAAGATGATTATTTGTCGTCAAATTATTTCCTTATTCATATGATGATCTTGAGTTGTATATAAGGTAATTAATTATCGGGTTGTGGTCCATGTTACCTTCTCCTTACCTCATTTACCTGTGCTTAAAGCCTAAATTAACATCAATTTATCATCCATGTTTATAAAAATATCAGAATAACATAACATCTGCTTCTATAATCTAACCTTTGCTATATAATCCGGTATAATATACATAAAGGCTACATAAATAACTTCCTTCTTCTTACAAACTATACATAATTACACAACACCGAGTCACGAACCACAGGTCGATGTAATTATAGATTCAGTATGATCGATAACAACCTCTGACGTCCATTGATATAATTTAATCACAGGTTCGATATCGACAAATTGATATCCACCAATCAGAATTCAGATAGATATTTTACCGACGTATCAAAATATCGCTTCTGATGGAATAAGAGGATTGGTGGAAGTTTTATTGAGCGTTAGTCTTTGTCAGTGGGGTGGGGGGAGATGGGGGGGGGGCGGGGTTAAGTGTGTGTGTGTGCTTGATATTGGCGAGTAGTTTGTGTTATTAAAGGTGATTTGTGGTTGATAATTCGCCTATTTTACGGTTAATTTGTGGTTGTTACTCTCGTTTTGAAGTGTTTCCGGTTGTCATTCGCTTTGTTTTTTTTTTCAGTGTTTTTGTTGATGATTTTGGTTGAATGTTTGTTTATTACGGGTTTTATGTATGTCCCTTTGTTGTTGTTGTTGTTGTTGTTGTTATTTTCACTCTTTATTTCTCTGATAGCAAGTGATTCCTATCGATAGTGTTGTTATTGTTATTTTTCTTTTGTTTATGACTTCAGCCTATAATTTATCTTTTGTTCATTTCAGTTCTTTCAGCCGTCCACACTAACCCTTTCCCTGATAATTATATTACAAGAACCATTACTAAATTGCACGTGTCTCCCTGACCCAAATATCTTCAAAATAATATTATCATTACAGGTAAAATTATCTTATTAATATCTATAGTGATGTGATTGCATCTGTGTACGTTCTGGTTATTAATTTATATTTTTTTTTATCGTCTAAATTTGGAAGTTCCAGCTGGGTGAAGGAGGAGGAAGAAGTCAACTTGTGCGCTTTTTATCGATTCTGGTCGTGACGAGTCTGTGATGCGGTGTATGACTGCCATTTGCGATACTACAGAGAGAGGGGGAGGGGGGCAGGACAGGAGGGAGAACGAGTGTGTATTTCCTCTCTATCGTTTGCTTCCTCACCTCGATCTGCTTCCTTGTCTGTCATTTACACCTTCAGCTCGCTCCACAGTAAGAAAAGAGAGAGAATCCTCACTCAGATCTCTCTCTTTCTCCCTTGCTGTGTGCTGGCGGCATAGGATGTACCCCCGGTGTGGTCTGAGAACGTCATAGAAAGCCTCTCACTGTAAACATAAATTATGAACGTTAGTGAAGGAGAAACGTTTAGAAATCATTAATAGTTACGAGGAACACCTGATTTTTTTTCCTACAATATACTTTGTGTTGTAACCTCACACGGCAGGGTTTTTTTTTTCTTACCACTAATACCACACACGGGGAAGGATATCTAGTGTATGATATCTCACAGGACACGTAGGATTTACCGTGACTTATTAACACGCAGGAGAAGGGACTTGTTGTGTCGATATCTCACACGGCAAAAGGTTATTACCGGCTCCCTGTTAACACGCATATTGAGGATATATCGTGTAGGATAACTCACACGATACGTAGGATTTGTTGTGTTATATTACCATGCTGAGGGTAGGATTTGTGTTATATTACCATGCTGAGGGTAGGATTTGTGTTATATTACCATGCTGTGGGTAGGATTTGTATTGTCGTTAACGGAGAAAAATATAACGTAGTCTTAAATGAAAAAAAAACGGGATTTTTTTTATTATTGTTGTTGTTGTTCGTGTAAGCTAAATCCCACTTAACTTGAGGAAGGAAAAATACAGGTGGGATTTTGTTAGCTGCTTTTGTTGATGGGATGTTTTCATGTACAGGGGTGGAGGTGGTGGTGTTAGGGTGAGTGGGTGGTAGGTGGTGATGGTGGGTGGATATGATGGGAGGAGGAGGATATATCTGTAGGTGGTGGGTGGGGTCAGTGGGCGGCGGGGTGGGTGGTGCATGCGTGGGAGGGGGAGGGGGATAAACTGCCTCTGTTGGTCGTAGTGGTGGTAAATTACGTAGTAGTTATGGTAGTGTGGTGAGTGGTTTTTGATCGTGGGGATAACTGTGGTGGTATTGATGGTGGTGGTGGCGGGGGATAATGGTGGTAGTGGTGGTGGCCCGTGGGAGTAGCGGCGGTGGTGGGAGGGAGAGATGGTGGCAGCCGGACCACCATTGTGTTAAACTCTATGGGAATCGCACGCCACTTTCACACACACACACACACACACACACACACACACACACACACACACACATCCTTCCGCCAATAACTGAACTCTCCATCAATTCTCTCCCAATTCACCAACAGCGAAAAAATTTATATATTTATTTAGTAAAAAATATACAGATGACCGAGGCTCCTGATTTATGCATAATTTCCCGGAGTTGTATTGTGTTGTTATTATTGAGAGACAAAAATACTGTACTTTTTGCTTCATATAATAGTTTTTTTTTTTGACGTGATATTGCGTGTTGAGGTTCACGGTAATAGTGGTAATGAATGTTGATGATGATGATAACAATGATGATAATAACAATAATAAAAATAAGAGTTCACCAGAATAATAATCATCACTTACTGTTCTCTTCTGGTTGAAGCTTAAGCAAAGGCTACCAGGGATCAACACTTGAGTTTTAGCTGCAGATAATAACGAAGTTAGCTGAAGGAGATAGCTTTTATTTTCTTTACTGTTTCATAGCTGTGAGTGTAACTGTTTGTTTATGGAATCTTCATAGCTCAACGGTTAACAATTCTTTATTGATAGCTTTATGGCTGGGATCCGTATGTTTGTGTTGGTGTATAATCGGTATCTTTAGCTTTTTAATTTGGTTCAATAACTGTTGACTGTATTATTTTTTATTGTTTATAGTTCATCAGGTTTTATTGATTCTAGCTGGGAGAAGGAGGGGGTTTATTTCTGATTGGCGCCTTTTGTGTTTATATTCTGTGCTGTTTTAATTTGTTTTATAGCAAATCTACACATTATTATTGTTGTTTTTGTTGTTGTTACTGATGT